CGCCAGCCAGGCGGGCTAGAGCGAGAAACTGAATGAAAAACAGAAAGAGGGGTTGCAGAAATGGGAAACGGAGGGGACCCCTGCTGATTTTGCGGCTCGGGGTCCTTGTCAGGTGCAGGCGGGAAATCCCCGCATGAAGCCGCAGAGGACCCTGCGTGGCAGCATAATCGCTGCGATGGCAGGGAATCTTCCGCACCCTTCGAGAGGGTTCGAATGAAATTCGCATGCCACGCAGCGGAGGGCGATGTGAATGGGCCGCACGGCAAGATTCGCGTCATCGCTGGCAGGTGCAATGCTTCTAGACGAAAGTGTGGGGTGGAAAACCGAGGCGGGTTGCTGTTTTCGCCTCGAATTCATGCACGACCCCATGTGATGCATGGTCGGCTGCATTCGCCTTACAGTGGGCTGCAAGTTGGTATAATTTAAAGTCAGTTTCATTTTTTACTTATTACAACCGCATGCGCTTATGCCCGTTACTCATTCATAAGCACACCCCCCTAAAAATCAATGTTTTATTATAAGCGCACCTGCGCTTATATCCGGGGTGATACGGTACCATGTCTACCATCCGCCCACCAAACTAACTTGCTTGCTCAAATCGCTTGCTGCCGTACAACCACACATTCCCATCCTGCTCAAGAAGCAAAACAAATCCTATAACAACCCACCCAGCAGCACTACGGGTGCTACACCACAGCTCTGCTATACCCTACAGCCCAGGCGGCGGCCCGTCGTCCACCCCACTGTGCGAGGGGTGATGGTCCCCACTGCTCGCTGCAATGCTCTGCTGCACCTTCTGTGCGATCATGTGCTGCGCCGCCACCACCCCCTCTGATGACCCCGTTATTGTCACCTTCCTGCACACTCTCGTGGAGATCAATCATGTGAGGTACAACACAGCAGCACGGGTAATAGAGTCTACCCCGAATGATGGCACTAAAAGGGTATTAAAGGCTTGGGAATGGACGAAACGCAGCACATGCGGCATGAGGCGGGGCAGGAGGGCACGTACCTGTCTCTGGTTCCCTCCACGAAGTCGTTTCTACCAGATATCACCATGCGCACCCCCGTGTTCTGTGAGCGCAGTGCAGGGCAGTGGATGGCAGTGCAAGGCAGAGCAGGGGCAGGGGCGGATGCACAGGTGGAAAGTACGTGCGAGAGATGAAGCAAGATAAGAAGTGGCGGAGCGGCGGTATCTATGTGGGTGATCGAGCACAAAGCGCAGACCACCATTCCCATTTAAACTTCAGACAGATTAAATACAGTACATGTCAAATCCTTAAACATCAGATTTATGCAGTTGAGGGAAAAGGGTGAAGGTCCCATGCGTGAGGCTTGGAGTGGCACACACCTGTTGGATCTCGTTGATGGAGCGGCCTTGCTTGCCCACCACGGCACCCACGTGGTCATCCGGCACCGCCACTATGATGGTCGTCGGTATCACACCCCCCGGTAGCATTGGTGGGGCTGCCTGCTGCGCAGGAGTGGAGGGAGGGAACGGAGGGTCGGATGTAGGGACAGAGGGAGAGGCTATCGCCAATGCGAACGGCATCAATTCACAGCTTTGTTTTTTCAGCACACCTTTCTCATACCCACACCCCTCATCACCCCTCCCTATCAAGACCAGAGAATGATGGGGCGGGGAGACATGAACAGCACTGAGTCTCTCCACCCCTCTCTACCCCTCTCCATCCTTCTCCACCCCAATCCCTTCCTGAAGGCGCCCTCCCAGCTGTCCGTGGTGTGGATGGCGAGAGAGAGTGGGAGGCCAGCGACTGCCAGAGGATGAGGGAGCATATAGTGAACCCCATCGATTTCCCTACAAATAAAAAAGGTTAGAAGGACGGCTTGCTTCAGCTTGAAGCATTAGCCGAGTGGTTCACGTGAAGGGGCTCACGGCACTATCTCCCGCTTTCATCACCTCACATCATTAAACCGTTTGCCCGGCCATCAGCGTAGCTGATATGCCCATGAGTAGGTCCCTCCACGCACACAGCTGGCAGCACCATCAAGAGCACCTTCCATGCAGCTTGCCCAACCCCAGCCCATGCCCCACGGCCCACTCCCAACCCCCACGCACCTTGCCCCGGTTAGGAGGCACCCCTGGCATGCCATACGGGGGCGGCCCCCTCACCCCGCCATACAGAGCCCCGCCGTACCCCCCAGGGTTGGGGTAACCTGGATAAGCGCCCTGGCCCTGCCCGTAACCCCCGTAACCGCCTGGGCCGCCATTGTAACCACCCCTGCCTGGCGCACCTGCAAGGAACAGCGCGGTGGAAGAGAGGGCGGGGAGTGGAGGGGAGTGGGGTGGAGTGAAGTGGAGTGGCGTGGAGCGGTTGGAGTGGAGTGGAGTGGAGTGCAGTGCAGTAAAGTAGAGTGGAGTGGCATGGAGTGGAGTGGAGTGGAGTGGAGAGGAGTGGAGCGGAGTGGAGAGGAGTGGAGTGGAGGGGAGTGGAGTGGAGTGGAGTGGAGTGGAGTGGAGTGGAGTGGAGTGGAGAAGAGTGGAGTGGAGTGGAGAGGAGTGGAGTGGAGAACAGTCGAGTGGAGTGGGAGTGGGAGTGGAGTGGAGTGGAGTGGAGTGGAGTGGAGTGGAGTGGATTGGAGAGGAGTGGAATGGAGAGGAGTGGAGAGGCGTTGAGTGGAGTGGAGCGGATTGAAGTGGAGTGAAGTGGAGTGCAATAGAGTAGAGTGGAATCGCATGGAGTGGAGTGGAGCGGAGAGGAGTGGAGTGGAGTGGAGTGGAGTGGAGAGGAGTGGAGTCGAGTGGAGTGGAGAGGAGTGGAGTGGAGAAGAGTGGAGAAGAGTGGAGTGGAGTGGAGTGGAGTGGAGAACAGTCGAGTGGAGTGGGAGTGGGAGTGGAGTGGAGTGGAGTGGAGTAGAGTGGAGCGGAGTGGAGTGGAGCGGAGTGGAGTGGAGTGGAGTGGAGTGGAGCGGAGTGGAGTGGAGCGGAGTGGAGTGGAGTGGAGCGGAGTGGAGTGGAGCAGAGTGGAATGGACGCTGACAACGTAAGAAAGCAGGAGAGAGAGCGAGTGCGTCGCATGCAGGTACAAGGGCTCTGCTCACCGGTGTAGGAGAGTGGCACGTGGCTCACCCGAGGAGTGATATGATATGATATGATACGATACGATGGTCCTCTGCTCACCGGTGTAGGAGAGCGGCACGTCAGCATACTGCACGTAGGTGGGGTCTTCAGACATCTTGGTCAGCAGCAGCGCCACCGCGCGCAACTTCTGCTCCAGCGACCCGCCGATCGTGATCACGCGCTCCGCGAATCCCGGCCCCACCGCGTCCTGCGGGGACAGCTTGATGGTCGCCTGCGAGTCCTCCACGAACGACCTGCGTGGGGGAGGCGGTAACGTGGGAGGCAACGGGGGAGGATAAGGAAGCTGCATGGAAGGGGCTGCATAAGAGCACATCTAGGCGACAGCTTGATGGTGGCCTGCGAGTCCTGCACGAACGACCTGCGTGGGTGGGGGAGGGGCGGTGTGGGGGAGGCAGGGGGGGGAATAAGGAGGCGACATGGAGGAGGGAAGGGTGAGAGCACGTCGAGGCGACAGCTTGATGGTGGCCTGCCAGTCCTCCACGAACGACCTGCGCGGGGGAGACGGAGTCGGCACGAATGGCGGAAAGGTTGAGGGGGGCGTGGAAGGGGGGGGGGGGGAGGGCATAGTGACGGCAGCATGCGGCACCTGACAGCACCACGCCGCACCTGACGGCACCACGCCGCACCTGACGGCACCACTTCGCACCTGACGGAAGGGCTCCTCACCGGATGGTGGCGCCGCCTTTGCCGATGATGGCGCCGCACACTCTGTTGGGCACCACGATGCGCAGATCCGCGTCGCCCTCCCGCGCGCCCGGCTCGTTGCGCCGCGGCTCCTGTCAGCACGGGAAAACGGGCATGCAACGTTTCAGAGAGGCGAAATATCGACGAAGGAATGGAATCCAGGAAGCAGGGAGGAAGCATACGGGCGTTCGCCTTTCGTTCGCGAGAGGAAGTACGAAACGAGGTTGCAAAAAGAGAACGGGGATGAGGATGGTCGGGGATGGGAGTGGGGATGTGGACGGGGAAGGAATGGGGATGGGGATGTGGATGTGGGATGGGGATGTGGGATGGGGACGTGGGATGGGGATGGGACCGGGGATGATGACGGCGATGGGCATGGGAGCGCGGGTGCGTACATCAGCGAGTTTGGATAGAATGAGGTGGAGAGCGGTGAGGATGGCGCTGACGCTGCCGCTGAGGAGAATGATGCGGTCCGTCGTGTTGGGAAAGTATTCTCGCGCGCGCGACAGCACTATTTTCGCGCCAGATTGAGTTTGGAATTCGGAGATCACGACGCCGCCCTTGCCAATGATGGACCCCGCGTCGCTGTTCGACACGAGGAATCGTAGCGTCGACTTGAGCGCCCGGACCTCCTCTGCAGGCGAACCAGAGCACGCGTTAGACGCCGCGATTCACGGAGAATATGACCTATTGCAACCCAAAGCGACAGCCGTGACTACTAAGGAATCAGACGGGGAGGACGGAGTTCTCAGCCGCTACAGCACCGAAATCGACGCAGGGAAACGGGAATCGGAAGCTTGCCTGTTTCGCGCGCATTGTCTCGATTTTCCTCCGTGCCTTCTGGCCCCTTGGCGTCATCCGCCATGGCGATCCCGCGTGTTCAGGAAGGAATCTAGCAGATGGGGAATGGTTTTTGGATGAGGCCAAGGATGAAGGGGTTTGCGTGAGTTGGATTTCGAGCCTCGGGGATGACAGCGAGGAAAGCGAAGATAGGAAATGGCAAAGCACCACGAATATCCCAGGGTTCGCGACAGAAGTGCAATGCGTTACCAAAAGCTTACCACTACATGATAATTGGGCTCACTAACATATTTTCCAGGTACTGTAAATTACGTGAAAAAATGCTCTGATAACAACTTGAATTTGAGTGACGCTTGCGCTTGCTTCTTCAAAGGCCTGAGATCAACACAATATATACAGCATAACAAACGATTTATGCGTGTCCTCCTTCCCCACCCCCATTCTTCCCTCCTGCCTGTTTTGAATCCTTTTTCTTCGCCTTCTCCTTCAGCAGCTGCTGCTTGAGGAAGGCAGCACGAAGCTTCTCCCTCTTCTGCTCTGCCTGCTGCTGCCTCTTGGCCTTCAGCAGCGCTGCTCTCTCCCGTGCTGTCCGCGTCTCCTCTATCACCTCTCTGTCCCCAAGTTATAAAGAGGGATGCAACGCAAGGAGACAAAGGTACAGGAATGATGTGCACGGGCTACAAAACGAAAACTGAGGTCCGTGCTGCTCAGTCCCATGGATTGCGAGAGGCAGAGAGGAATGATGTGCACGAACTGAAACACGATTTAAACACTGCTCCCTCCGTGCCTGCAAACATCGCTGTGCGATCGTGCCACATTGAAAGCAAACGTTACAGCCAAACGCGCAAGAAAGTTAGAAGCTGCTGGCACTGCACCCACCTGATCAGCTCCCTCTGTGTGGAAGCCATTCCCCCTCCTGCAACCACACCTGCTGCTCCGCCCCCATCCCTCCCTCCATCTCCCCCATCCCCCTCTGGCCCCCCCAGCAGCAGCGCCGCCTCTCCCAGCCTCTCGCGCTCCATCTCCTGCCTCTCCTCCTCCAGCGTGCCCCGCCTCAGGAAGTCAACGCTGTACTTCTCCTCCACGCCCGCCCAATCCGCCCCCTCCCCCTCGGCGCGCTCCCCCCTGGCCAGGCGCGCGTAGATGGCTGCCTTGCGCTCCAGGTGCCCCGCCACGTCCCTCTCCGCCTTCCACTGCAGCGCGTCCCTGGTGCGGGGGGATGGGGAAAGGGGGTCGGCGAGGGAAGAGGCGGGGACTGGGTAAAAATATCGTGGCACGGATGCAACTTGAAGCTTCACGTTGCCCGCTGAGCCCCTGTCCGCCTTTCGCGACACTGCATTTGTGAGTGGGTTGGGGGGAAGAAGAGGGACGAGTGGGAGCGTAGATATCTGAGGTGGCGTCAGGAAGAGGGGAGGGGAGGGAGGGGAGATTGCCCCGTCGCTCGGCGCCCTTCGCTGCAGTGCGCCTCTGGGAGGGGGCGAATGAGGGGAACGGGTGAGAGACGAGGGGAAGGGTGGGGAAGGGGGGATCGGGAGACCATAAGACGCGCCAGCCCCACCTATGCGCGCGTTCTTCAACCCCCGCGTTTCTCCCCCCAAACAGGTCCCCGGGCCCCCCTTCCGCTCCGGCTCCCGCGCGCCTAACCCGCGGCTCCGCGCCGCCTTCCTCCTTGGCGCGCTTGGCGTCCTCCTGGCTCTTGTACAGCTCGGCGCGCAGCGACACCAGGCTGCCCGCGCTCACGCCCTCGATAACGCGCTGCTTCTTCGGCATCAGCGCCGATTCCGTCAGCCATCCCAGCGACTCTATCCGCTCCCTCCGCTCCTTCCGCTCGTTCCGCGCCACGTCGCTTCCGCGGGCAGCGCAGACTCCGCCCGCGCTGGCGTCGGTGCGGGCCCCGGCGGCGGGATTCGCAGTGTCGAAAGACTTCGGGTTAGCAGTGCCGCTGGGCGACGGAGCAGCTCCGGGATTCTTCGCCATGACGGCGTTGTGGGATGCGAAGAGGGAGGCGAGGTGTGCGAAAACGGTGAAGCTTCGCGAAACTGTATTCGCGCCAACGTTCCGTCAATCCGTCGCCAAGATCACTGTGGTGCACACAGAGAACAGATCTAGGGACAAACTTTGATACACTATCAAATCTTTAAACTGTGGATACCAGCCAGCACGTCAGTAGTCCAATGGTTAGGATATTTGCCTTCCAAGCAAAAGATCCGGGTTCGATTCCCGGCTGACGTAGTCACCCTGTTATACCTTCCATTTGGTCTCCCTCTATCTTCACCTTTTCTCCATCACCTTTCCGACGGGGAACAAAAAAATACCATTTGCAGCCCTATATAGCTTGCACCCACCATACTCGAACAAAATGCTTTTTACTGAAGGTTTGACATTCGTTCTGTCAGACTCATAGCCCTGCGAGTGTGTGTCACTGCTGATTGTGAATGCATGGAGTGGACATGATAATTAAACAATATGTGACACTAAATAAATCGCAACTTCCACGAGAAGCAAGTCACCTTAACACCAGCTGGTTTAGGAGCCAGGTGAAACTTATTCTCCAAATGGACTAGTTGGAGCCGCTTGCTCTCCAACTTGCGTTCCAGGACCTTTCCCCATCGCTCAAGTGCTGCCATCTGGGCCACCACCCTCTCTGTGCGTTTAATCAGCACACACGCATTGTCTGCCTCACCCTCCACGGCTGCCAGCATCTCCCTCATCTCTCCACGCTTGTCTTTGCCCTTGCGCCCCATCACCGCTGCCGCTCGCAGCCCCATCTCTGCAGCCAGCGCTGCGCGCTCCCTCAGCCCATGCATGGCGATCAGCAGCGCGTCCCGCCTCGCCTGCAGCTCCTTCAGCCCCACCGCTGGCCACTCCTCTTCCTCTCCGCTCGCCTCACTGCCACCGTGCATGCGCCCCCTGCTCCTGCTCCTACGACACATGCCGGCCCGTCCTGAGCTGCTGGTGGACACCGTCGCCACCACTGGCACGCGCTGCTCACCACCCGCCTCCACCATGCTCTCATAGCCATCTGCCCCCTTTGCAGCTTGGGAGCTGCCGCGCTCGCACAGGGCAGCGGGGAGCAGCCCCCTGAGCTGCTCCTCCAGCCGTGCGTTCTCCGCCAGCACCTCCTCCAGCTGCCTCTCCCGCTGCTCCTGCTCGCCCTCCTCGCATGCACTCCCTGCATAGTACTGTGCCGCCGCCTCCTTGGCGCGGCTCCACGCGCCCTGTCGGGGCACCGGCAGCGTGAACGTCGACTCGTACTCGCCGCCACACTGCTCCTCCACGCCGCAAGCGCAGTCAGCGTGTGCGGCACACTGCTCACTGCCACCACTCTCACGCCAATGCTCCGGTGGGCCTTCAGGCTCTTCCCCCTCCACCGCACTCAGCCACGCTCCCCGATCAAATGCACCATCACACGCACCCCCCTCCCTCCACTCCCTGCTGCCCGTCTGCACCTCTGCCCCCCCTGCTCCCCTTGACCACCCTGCACCTGCCGCAGCCTGCCCACCATGCGCCCCACCGGCTCCACCCCGGTCGTCACAGCCACACCTTGCTTCCTCTGCACCCCCTGCACCACCACCTCCACGGCCATGCCCAGTGTCATCAGGATGTGGGGCTTGTGACTTTCTGCATTGAAGAATATCTCGCCCCACCACTCCTCCTGGAACCTGCTGCACTGACTTTCCTTCCCACACGTCTCCACCCTCGCCCTTTGCTGCCTGCAATCTGCTGCATTCCTGCTCCACGCGGCCCCTGCTCGCCACCATGCTGCCATGCGCGCCCTCTTGTGCAGCATGCAGCGCGCCTCTGAAGGCCTCCTTCTCAGCGAGCAGGCGGTCGATCAGCGCCGCTGCCAGATCCTCGCGCTGCGTGGCGGCGTCCGCCTGCCCCTGCAGCCGCGCCAGCTCGCCGTCCACGCACTGCATCGCCTCCTCCTTCTCCCTCTCCCTCTCCGCCGCCGCCCGCAGCGCCCGCGCCAGCTGCCTGTGCAGCACGGCTATGGCGCTACTGCCCTCCTCCCGCGCGCCCTGTGCACATGCCTCTGCCAAACACTGCGCTGCATATATGGCGCAAGAGGGGGAGGGGTTAGCGCGCATGGCAGGGTGAGGACACGGGGGGATAACGCGTGGTGGCAAGGTGAGAAGGCATGGGGCAGATGAGGGCGAAGGCACTGACCGTTGCGTGCATCCGCTGGGAGGGGTTAGCGCGCATGGCAGGGTGAGGACACGGGGGGATAACGCGTGGTGGCAGGGTGAGAAGGCATGGGGCAGGTGAGGGTGAAGGCACTGACCGTTGCGTGCATCCGCTAGTTGGTGGCGCAGGTGGCGCAGCTTGTGCTCCAACTCCACCTCCTGCCGCACTCAGGCGCAGGGGCGCACACAGACAGGGGGATAGGCGCACACAGACAAGGGGATGGGTGCACACAGACAAGGGGATGGGCGCACACAAACAAGGGGATGGGTGCACACAGACAGGGGGATGGGCGCACACAGACAGGGGGATGGGCGCACACAGACAGGGGGATGGGCGCACACAGACAGGGGGATGGGCGCATACAGACAGGGGGATGGGCGCACACAGACAGAGGGGTGGGCGCACAGAGACAGGGGGGTGGTCGCACACAGACAGAGGGGTGGGTGCACACAGACAGGGGATGGGCGCACACAGGCATGGGGGATGGGCGCTTAAGTCCAGTGGATGGGCGCACACAGGCACGGGGGACGGGCGCTCAAGTCCGGTGGATGGGCGCACACAGGCACAGGGGATGGGCGCTCAAGTCCGGTGGATGGGCGCACACAGGCACGGGGGATGGGCGTTCAAGTCAAGTGGATGGGCGCACACAGGCACCGGGGGTTGGTGCACGAGACATTGATTCACGGTGAGGCGCAGGTGAAGAGACGGAGGGGAGACGGGGCACAGCATGCGTGGATGCGTGAGAAGGGGCTGCGCTACAAGCTGCAGGCATGCATGACGCCACACCTTGCACGTGGGCCCGGGGGTGCTACGCCTAGGCCCTGCCATGCTACACCCACCACCACCCACTCCACGCTCACCGATGCACAAGCTCCACTACCTTGCTCGCTGTGGATACCTTGCTCCCCGCGGCTACCTTGCCCCCCGCGGCTACCTTGCTCCCCGCGGCTACCTTGTGCCGCCAGGTTGCCTCGTTGTCGCGGTGTGCGCCGAGCAGCACGGCCACCTCTGTTAATGTTAGCAACAATCTGACATTTGTAGTTGTACTTTTTATATCTTAGTTTAATGTAGTTTGCACTTTGTGTTTGGTTGGGTGTACACCCACATCCCAACCAAACCCAAATGTGATCTCCAAGCAATCTCCAACCCACCAATTGGAGATTGCCTTGGGATTACCCCCAATTCCCTAGGATTGCCCCCGATTCTCTCCCCACCCTTACCTTGCCCATTTCCAATGTACTTAAAGAGCCATGAGCTCATTACTAATGCATGGATTCTAAGCTCAAGCTCTAACCTGGTAACTGAGCGATTCAACCGCACACGCGTATCGTGATCGTCCTATCTCAACGGGCATTTGTCCCTCTTTCTTCGGCGTAGCCGCCATCAATCCCGTCGCTGGTGATTCGCAACTTCTCTGGCCGGAAATTATCCCGCGCCACTCTCCCTTCCTTCTCGACGACTTTCGCAATTTCTCTGGTAAGCGCATTGTCGGCGCTTTAACCAATCGCATTTATTTTCGTCAATCGTCTTCGCTCCATTTCTTCTCGTCGGGCCGCCGCCCGTCGCCCTGCAGCTTCTCGTCGGGCCGCCGCCCGTCGCCCTGCATCTTCTCGTCGGGCTGCCGCCCGTCGCCCCGCAACGGCACTCCGCAACTGAACAGGTGCAGCCGCGCAGCTGAGCAGCCGTGTAGCAGCGAAGCTGAGCAGCAGCGTAGCCGCGAAGCTGAGGGTGGTGTGTGGGGGGGTGTGTGGGAATAGGGTTAGCTACCGAAATCGGCCGATTTGACCTATTTGTATCGGCCTTAAAATTCCTTCTACGAGACATTCCAAATCGGCCGCCATTGAAGCTTTTCGCTCTCCACGTCCCTCGGATTTTCTCCTTCGGAAACCATAAACCTCACAATTCTCTTTCGTAAACCCCAAACCCCAAGTTCTTCAAATTCTCCTTCGGAAACCCAAAACCTCAAGATCCTATCGGTGACTCAAGAGCGGCACTTCACACGAGACCTAAAGGGTTCTTCGCCATGGCCTTCGCCTCGGCCATTCTCGCCAACCCCATCACCCCGCTCCGCCTTGAAGCCGACGGCACTAGCTCGAACTTCAAGGCATGGAGCTACAGGGTTGACAAGCTCCTCCTGAGTCGTGAAGTGGGTGAACTTGACCTCAAGGACGTTCTTCTCAATCATGGCAAGGGAAAACAGCCCCCCATCCCCAAGGAGCCGTCCGATCCAACCGATGTTGTGGCAACCCAGGAGTACGAGGACTCTGTTGCCAAGTACCGCAAGTGGGAGAAGGCCGATGCGACTATCATTGGCGTCTTCACCGGCTCGAATCCTCCCGAACTTGTCAACACGTTCCACAACTACCCCACTTCCAACGCCATTTGGAAGCATCTCCATGACAGGTTCATGAATAAGACGGTGGTCGGGGTGGCCATCCTCATTCCTAGTATCTTTCAAATCCGCATTGAGGATTGCCCGGGTATGGCCGACTACATCGCCAAGGTGCAAACCATCCATGGCGAGCTCAAGGAGTTGGGTATCATCCGCCCTTCTTGTTGGCCTCACCTCGGCATACGAAGTCACAAGGAAAATGCTCTTCACGTCCTCGGCGGAAGACCTCACCTTTGCTAAGGTCTCCTCCGCCCTCCTCTCCGCCGAGAAAGACTCCTCGACCCAAGCCAAGGCCTACGCCCTCCGAGCTCCCGTGCCTCAAGCACGTGTCGCATCGGCACTCGCCTCGGCGCCCTTTCAGCACAACCGCTTCCCTCCATGCGCCTACATCGTCAAGTATGGCAACCGCAAAGGACAAGTGTGTGGTGGCACTAACCACCCCTCGCCACGTGCTTCAAGAAGAAAGACGACGAATGGTATGCCATCCATGGAGTCGACAAGAAGCGTCCTCGTAAGGCCAACGTAGTTGAGGCACAAAACCCCGCTCAGGCTAGTGCTAGTGATAGTGCTCCTGCTGATGTGCGCATCTACTTGTTGTTCCCTGGCACTGCCATGATTAATGAAGCAACTTCGCAATACATCGGCTCATCACAGGCATCACAATATATAGACTTCACACTCGACAGTGGGGCCACTCACACAGTGCTCAAGGGGACACTCTCCTTCAAACCCTACGCAACACCCATTCCTCTCCTGGGAGTTGATTCAATCTTCACCACTCTTGCCAAGGGTTCGTCCACAGTCCCGTGCCCCGCCTTCCCATCCGGCACTGTCACTGGCATGTGCGTGCCTTCACTACGCCACAATCTAGTGGCTCAAAAAGAAATTCAGGAGGCGGGATCACGCACCATCTTCTCGGAGAACGAGGACTATTGTGACATCATCGACCCACTCACCAACAAGGTCTTGGCTCGCTTCACCCTCAATAGCAGCGGCCTTTACACGCTGCGAGTACCTATCCCACAGGTGTCAACCACCCAAGCACATGCTGCTATCACACCATGCTCATGTCGCAGCTTCTCCAACCCGACCATCCTCTACCACCATCGGCTCGGGCACCCAAAATTCCGCACGCTTGATGACATGGCCTCCAAGAAGCTTCTACTTGGCCTGCCTGCCTCACTTCCTCCACCACCTGACTCGCCCGCTCCCACATGCCTTGACTGTACCAAGAGCAAGCTACGCCAACATCCCCACCCTGCCTCACCCTCAGTAGCAGCAGCCCCACTGTGTCAGAATGTTATATTGCTTACATTGTGTAGGCTATAGTGGGGTAGCCCATAAGGGGTACAACCCAATTAGGGTTAGTACTTGTACCCAACTCTTTCATAGTTCATTCATTCTCGTTCATTCTTCTGACATGGTTTCAAAGCAGGTCCTTAGCTAGGACCGTTTTTTTTTTTTCCTTGGGCCCACCACTGCGCTCCCCCACTAGCCGCCCCTAGCCCGGCCCGTCGCCCCTAGGCCCGTCGCCCCGGCCCGTCGCCTCTAGGCCGGCCCGTCGCCCCTAGCCCGGCCCGTAGGCCTATCGCCCCTAGCCCGGCCCGTCGCCCCTAGGCCCGACGCCCCTAGCCCGGCCCATCGCCCCTAGCCCGATCCGTAGGCCCGTAGCCCGGCCCGTCTCCCCTAGGCCCGTCGCCCCGGCTTGTCGCCCCTAGGCCGGTCGCCCGTAGGCCAGCCCGTCACCCCTAGCCTGGCCCGTAGGCCCGTCGCCCCTACCCCGGCCCGTCGCCCCTTAGGCCCGTCGCCCCGGCCCTGTCGACCCTAGGCCCTGCCACCTGCCCCGTCGACCCTCGGCCCGCGCGCCCCGTTGACCCTAAGCCCGCGCGCGCCCTGTCGACCCTAGGCCCGCGCGCGCCCTCACGACCCTAGGCCCGCGAGCCCCGTCGACCCTGCCCCCGCGACCCGCCCCGTCGACCCTCGGCCCCGGTGCCCCGTCGACCCTAGGCCCGTCGCCCTCGGCCGGCCCGTCGCCCCTAGCCCGGCCCGTAGTCCCGTCGCCCCTAGCCCAGCCCGTCGCCCCTAGACCCGTCGCCCCGGCCCGTCGCCCTTCGGCCCGTCGCCCCTAGGCCGGCCCGTCGCCCCTAACCCAGCCCGTCGCCCCTAGGCCAGGCGCCCCGGCCCGTCGCCCGACACCCCTACGTCCGCGACCGACGCCCCTACGCCCCGGCCCGTCGCCCGTCGCCCCTAGGCCCGCACCTGTCGCCCCTAGGCCCGCGCCAGTCGACCCCAGGCCCCGCGAGCCGCCCCTTCCGGCCCGCCCCTCAACCCTGCAGCCCACGAGCCGCCCTTGCAGCCCCGCGCGTCGCCCTTGGTGGCCCACTCGCCGCCCCTGCTCCTCTGCTAGCCGCCCCTTGCGGCCCTCTCACTGCCCCTTTGCTGCTGCCTGCCCTGTGCTCTGCGCTGCTCTGCTTCTCCTCGCTTTGCGTGCTGCGCCACTATGGCTTCTCTCCGCGTGCTAGTGTTCAATCATGAGGGACGCCCCCTACAGTTTGACACATGGCTCGATGACCTGCAGCTGTACCTACTGAGCGACTCTAGAGACAGTGTTTCGTTGTTTGACCACACGTCTGGCGCTGCTCCCGCCCCTCCCGCCACAGCTGACAGTGCGACCCGCTCACAGTGGCTTACTCGCGACGCTGCTGCCTGCTTAGCCATTCGCAACCACCTGCCGTTGACCGAATGCGCTCACTTCGGACACCACAGGACAGCACAGACACTGTACGACGCTGTCGTCGCTCGCTACTCCTCGCATGCCATTGCTGCTCTAGGCCGCCTCCTATTGCCCGACCTGTTCCCCGAGCTGTCCACCTTTGCCACAGTAGAGGACCTGGCTTCCCACCTTCGCACTAGCGACGCTCGCTACCGCGCTGCCCTCCCAGCAGAGTTCCTTGCAAAGAACCCACCCCCGATGTACATCACTCTTTACTTCATAGTCACCCGCCTCCCTGACTCTCTTCGCGCTGTCAGGGACCACTTTCTCGCCCTTGACCCCACAACCCTCACCGTTGACCTACTCGAGCAGCACCTTCTTGCACCTGAGACTAGTGTAGTCGCTGTAGGTGCTGCTCGTGGCACTCCGCACACTCCCTTCTTTGAGGGGTGCTCCCCCTCCCCCCTTGCTCCCTCCTACGCCTCTACTGCTGCTGCTGACGTCCCTGGTGCTGAGGACGTCGGGGTCGCTTCTGCTAGTGCGAAGCACCGCAGAAGCAAGGGCAAGGGTGGCAGGGGTGGTGGCGGTGGCAGCGGGGGTGGTGGTGGGGGCAGCAGTGGAGGTGGTGGGGGCAGTGGAGGTGTTGGCAGCGGTGGGAGTGGTGGCGGAAGTGGGGGCTTTGGTGGTGGCGGTGGAGGCAGCAGTGGGAGTGGCGGTAGTGGC